TACTAACATATCAATTACTACAATAACAAATCTTTTCATCACCAATTTTTTACCCCCAGCTATCTATTTACCATGGTGGATCCTCATCGCAAAATCAACAACCTAACAGAAGAGCACAGAGCCTTCCTAGCAGAGTGCGAGCAAGAATTTGCAGACAGATACACAGAAAATGATCCCGAGTTCAAAACCTATCTAGAAAAGAAACCAAGTGTGCCCCCCATAGTCGACCCTTGGCAAGGGTCTCAGAAAAGGACATACGACAACCATCGTGGAGGCAGGGGCAGGGGCTATTTCAGACACCGAGGAGGTGGTGGAAGATATAATAATAATAGAGACGGTGGTGGAGGTGGTTATCATAGACAGAATAATTATCAAGGCGATAATTATAATAATCACAGAGGCGGCGGCGGTGGTGGTTTTGGTGGTTATTATAGAAGGAATCCCCATGGTAATAAGTTTTATGGGGATCGTAATAGACCTTATTGAAGGTGTTGTGATTTGTTTGTAATTTTGGTTTGTAGAAGTATTTATTTTTTTTATAATAAAGATGATTTTTGAGTATTGGTTTGGTTTTGTTTTGTTAAGCGATTTGTTTTGCAGCTGTTTAAATTGTAATCATTTTAATAAAAAAAAAAAAAAAACAAACAAATTAAAATTATTGAAATAAAAAGCTGTCTGAAAAAGTGTTTGCAAGTTGTCTGAAAAAGATATAACTAGCAGAAGATATTGTAATTTGTCTGAAAATATTGCAAAAAGTCTTAAACATTTTGTTGGAAAATATAAATTGCTAAACAATTTTATAAATTGTCAGAAAATGTTTGAAAATTTTATAGTTAATTGTTGTTAATTGTTAATGTTGTAATCTGTCTGAAATTTTGTAAGCAGGTTGATAATGTTGGCTGAGAATATTGTAACTGTCTGAAAATTTCGTAGTAACCTTGTTTAAAAATGTAAATTGCTGAAAAATTTTATAGGTTGTCAGAAAATGTTATAAAATGTCTGAAAATTGGTAGTTAGTTTTTTTGAAAATATTGCAACCAGTCTGAAAATGTTGTAACTTGTCTGTACATTTTGTAAGCAGTTTGATAATGTGGCAAGTTGTAGGACAGTGTTGTAAATTGTCTGAAAATTGTAAATTGTTTGAAGATTTTGTTGTAAATTGTTTGAAAATGTTATAGATTGTCTAAAAATATTGTAACTTGTCTGAAAATTTCGTAGTAACTTGTTTGAAAATATAAGTTACTGAAAAATTTTGTAAATTGTCTGAAAATGTTATAAAATGTCTGAAAATGTTATAAAATGTCTGAAAATTTTATAATAAATTGTTTGAAAATATTGCAACCAGTCTGAAAATGTTGTAACTTGTCTGAACATTGTGTAAGCGGTTTGGTAATGTGTTTTGGTAGGACAGTGTTGTAAATTGTCTGAAAATATTGTAAATTGTTTGAAGATTTTGTTGTAAATTGTTTGAAAATGTTATAGATTGTCTAAAAATATTGTAACTTGTCTGAACATTTTGTAAACAGTTTGATAGTGTTGTAACTTGTCTGAAAAATTTGTAAGGTGTCTCAAAATTTTGTTGCACCTTGTATGAAAATGTTGTAACTTGTATGAAAATTTTGTAGTAAATTGTTTAAAAATATTAATTGCTAAAAAATTTTATAAATTGCCTGAAAATGTTGCAACCTGTCTGAACATTTTGTTCACAGTTTGATAGTGTTGTAACTTGTCTGAAAAGGTTGTAGATGCCTGTTACACCTTTATATGAAAATGTTGTTCCTTATATTAAAATGTTGTTACTTGTCTGAAAATTTTGTAGCAAATTGTGTAAAAATGTTAATTGCTGAAAATATTTTATAAATTGCCTGAAAATGTTGTAACCTGTCTGAACATTTTGTAAACAGTTTGATAGTGTTGTAACTCGTCCAAAAATGTTGAAACTTGTCTGAAAGTGTTGTAAGGTGTCTGAAAATTTTGTTGTACATTGTTTAAAAACGTTGCAAGTTATTTGAAAATTTTATAGGCAGTTTGATAGTGTTGTAACTCGTCTGAAAATATTGTATCACATTTGAAAGTATTGTAAAATGTCTGAAAATGTTGTTGTACATTGTTTGAAAATGTTGCAATTTAATTGAAAATATTGCGAAAATTTTGTGAACAGTTTTGATAGTATTGTAACCTGTATCAGATGTTGTAACTTGTCTAAAAACTTGGTTGTACATGTTTGAAATGCAAGTAGTTTGACAATATTACGAAAATTTTGTAAGCAGTTTGATGCTGTTGTAACCAGTTTGAAAATGTTACAACTTGTCTGAAAGTGTTGTAAGATGTCTGAAAATTTTGTTGTACATTGTTTGAAAATGTTGTAACTAGTCAAAAAATATTACGAGCTGTTTAAAAACTGTAAATTATGAAACTGAAAATTGTTTAAAAATATTACAACTTGTCTAAAAATGTTGTAACCTGTTTGAAAACGCTGTAGCTTGTCTGTAGATGTTTCAACTGATCTGTAAATGTCGTAAAATTATTAAAAATTATGCAAACTCTTTAAAATTTTGGTAAATTGTTATGAAAATGATTGAAAAATGTTGCAAGATGTTTAAAAATGTTACAACTTGTCTAAAAAATGTTGCAGCTTGTCAGAAGATGTTGTAATTTGTCTTAAAATGTCGTAGAATATCTAAAAAATTTGCTGTAAATTTGAAAATTTTGCAAGCTCTTTGAAATTTTGGTAAATTGTTCTAGAAATTGTTGAAAATGTTGCAATATGTTTGAAAATGTTATAAATTGTTGTGAAATTTTTGTAAGCAGTTTGATAGCATTGCAAGTTGTCTGAAAGTGTGGTAAATTGTCTGAAATATCTAAAAATTGTTGTGAAAATTTTGCAGGCAGTTTGATAGTGTTGCAAGTTGTCCTAAGATGATGTAAATTATTTGTAATTGTTGCAACTCGTATCAAAGTGTTGCAATTCGTCTCAAGGTGTTGCAACTCGTCTCAAGGTGTTGCAACTCGTCTCAAAGTGTTGCAACTCGTCTCAAAGTGTGCGACTCGTCTCAAAGTGTTGCGACTCTCCTGAAAATGTTGCAACTGGTCTGAAAAAGTTGCAACTCGTCTGAAAGTGTTGTAAATTGCTCAAAATTTTGGTATGATATCTGAAAATGTTGCAATTGATTCTTTGACATTGTAATTGTCTCAAAAAGTTGTATCTGTCTGAAATTATTTAAGCTTGTCCGAAAACGTCGTAAATCGCCTGTAAGCGTTTTAAATTATCTGAAAACGTTGACAGCTGTCTGAAAATAAGGTAATCTGTCCAAAATTGTTGTAACTTGTCTGAAAACCTTGTTAATTATTTAAAAAGTTGTAAATCTATATGGGACTGGTAAATTTCGTATATTACTTTAGAAAATTAGTATTGAATTAATTAACTAAACCTGTTAACGATTTAGAAAACCTAAAAAAGAAAGAGGTTATATATTACACAGAGAGGTTCAAAATCAAAACATTGTTTATATAATATAGACTTAAGTTAAAATTTGCAATGGAAATCAAAATATATCATATTCAAACTGCATAACAAAAGAATTTATTATAATTAAAAATGTAGTTAAATAAAAAATAATATATTCAACTGCTTAGTGATTAATCATCTTCAATAACATCAAAGTACGAATTTGTTGATTGAAATTTCATAACCCATAATGTTAAATTCAAAATTCAATAAACAAAACGTTTCCTAATACTAATCTAAATAAATTACCCATCCTTAACCACAATAAAAAATATTCATATACGTTTTTTCTCCAATCTATTTCACTTAAATTAAATAAAATATATATACAAGTATCATCTTACATCTACAATTATTTAATTAATTTAAAAAAAGGCTTCATTGTTATTACTTATAATAAATAGGACTAACCTTGTTGTTTTTTCGAAAACAAAAATGACTATGCTAATAATAATTCCTCGGGTAGTATATCGTCTGGGGGCTCCATCTTGGGCTTGACAGCTTTGATTCCGTTTCTTAAATGTACGTTCAGATGTGCTTTGAGATGATGCGACTTTGTGAATCTTTTGTCGCAGGCATCACACCTGAAAAGGGAAAAGAATTGTTGGTAAATCATATATATATATATAAAATTGATTCTGAAGTCTCTGAAGTGAATGATTAGTATTGAAGTGAAACTTTTAAGGCAACATACAACAAGACTATATTTAACTAGTCAGAATTGCAGGTAAAAAGCCAAAGCAAAATTTGCCTGAAAATGTTATATAAAAGTGTTGTAAAGTGTCTGAAAATGTTGCAAGTTGTCTTTAAAAATGTTGTAAGTTGTCTCTGAAAATGTGGCAAATGCCTGAAAAGTGTCTCAAGACGTAGTTAGTAAATTGTCTCAAAATGTAAAAAAGCAAAAAAAATTCAAAAACCAAAAAAATTTAGAAAAAAGAAAATGATAACAAAAAAATAATAAAAAAAAACAGAAAAAAATAATAAAAAAACAGAAAATAAATAACAAAAATAAAAATAAATTTAAGAAAATGTTGCAAGTTATCTCAACAACAAGTTGCCTCTGAAAACGTTGCAAGTTGTCTAAAAAGTATTTTAAATTGTCTGAAAATGTTGTAAGCCTTATGAAAAATGTTGCAAGTTGTCTGAAAATCGTTTAAAAATGTTGCAAATGGTCTAAAAACGTTGTGACTAGTCTCAAAATGTTGTGAAAGGTCTGAAAATGTTGCAAAAGGTTTGAAAACGCTGTAAAAGGTCTGAAAACGCTGTAAAAGGTCTGAAAATGTTGTAAGAGGTCTAAAAATGTTGTAAATTGACTGAAAATGTAAATTGTCTGAAAGTTGCAAATCGCCTGAAAGTCGTTTAAAAATGTTTAAACTGGTCCAAAATTGTCTGAAAATATTTTAAATTGTCTGAAAATGTTGTGACCTGTCTACATTGTCTAAAAATATTCTAAATTGTCTGAAAATATTGCAAATCGTCTGAAAATCTTGTAAATTCTAAGAAAATGTTGCAAATTGTCTCCAGAAAAAGTTGCAAGTTTTTTGATAAAGTGGCAAATTTTGGAAAATGTGTGTTGCCTCTGAAAATGTTGCAAGTTGTCTGAAAATTTTCCAAGTCGTCTGCAAAACTTGCAAATCGTCTAAAAATGTTGTAAAAGGTCTAAAAATGTTGTAAAAGGTCTAAAAATGTTGTAAAAGGTCTAAAAATGTTGTAACTAGTCTGAAAATGTTTCAGAAGGTCTGAAAATGTTGTAAAAGGTCTGAAAATGTTGTAAAATGTATGAAAATTTTGTTAAATATATGAAAAAGTTGCAAGCCTCCTGAAAAATGTTTTAAATCGCCTGAAAAATGTTTTAAATTGTCTGAAAATGTTGTGACCTGTCTAAATTGTCTAAAAATATTCTAAATGGTCTGAAAATGTTGCAAATCGTCTGGAAAATGTTTTAAATCGCATAAAAAAGTTGGAAGTTGTCTGAGAATATTCTAAATCGTTTAAAAATGTTGTGAATCTTCTGAAAATATTGTAAATTGCCAAAAATGTTGTAAGCTGCCTGAAAAATGTTTTAAATCGTTTCAAAATGTTGCAAGTTGTCTGAAACTGTTGTAAAATGTCTGAAAATGTAGTAAGTCGTTTGAAAATGTTGTCAAGTATCTGAAAACGTTGTCAAGTGCCTGAAAACATTGTCAAGTGCCTGAAAATGTTGTCAAGTGCCTGAAAATTTTGTAAACAGCCAGAAAATGTTGTAAACAGCCAGAAAATGTTGTAAACAGCCAGAAAATGTTGTAAACAGTCTGAAAATGTTGTAAATCGTCTGATAATGTTGTAAATCGTCTGAAAATGTTGCAAGTCGTCTGAAAAATGTTTTAAATTGTCTTGAGAAATGTTGTGAGTTGTCTGAAAATCTTAGAAGTTGTCTCAATATATTGCAACTTATCTTAAAATATTGCAAGTTGTCTCAAAATGTTGCAGGTTGTCCGAAAAATGTTTTAAATTGCCTGAAAAATGTTTTAAATTGTCTGAAAATGTTGTGACCTGTCTAAATTGTTTGAAAATATTGCAAATCGTCTGAAAATATTGTATCTTGTCCAAAAAGTTGCAAATCGCCGAAAAATGTGAAAAGTCTAAAATTCTTGTAAATCAACTAAAAATATTGTCAGTTGTCTGAAAATGTTGTAAATAGTCTGAAAATGTTATGTCATTTGAAAATTATGTAAATTGTAAGAAGAAGTTGCAAGTTGCCTGAAAAATGTTGTAAGTCGTCTGAAAATGTTGCAAAATGAAAATATAAAAACAGTCTGAAAATGTTGACAGCAGTCAAAAAATATTGTAAATCGTCTGAAAATTTTCCAAGTCTTTTGAAAAAATTGTCAGTGGTTTAAAATAAAAATCTTGTAAATTATCTGAAAAAGTTGTAAATTCTTTGAAAATGTTGTAAATCGTCTCAAAAAGTTGTAAATCGTCCCAAAAAGTTGTAAAGCGTATCAAAAAAATGTAAATCGTCTCAAAAACGTTGTAACTTGTCTAAAAATGTTTCAAATAGTTAGAAAATGTTGTGAATTGTCTAAAAACGCTGTAACTTGTAGAAAAACGTTGTTACTTGTAGAAAAACGTTGTAACTTGTCTAAAAACGTCGCATCTTGTCCAAAAACGCTGTAAATCGTCCAAAAACATCGCAACTTGTCCAAAAACGCTGTAACTAGTCTAAAAAAGTTGTAGCTTGCAAAAAAATGTAAATCGTCTCAAAAACGTTGTAACTCGTCCAAAAACGTCGCAACTTGTTTAAAAACTTTGTAACTCGTCTAAAAACGTAAAACTCGCCTAAAAACGTTATAACTAGTCCAAAAACTTTGTAAATCGTCTAAAAATGTTGTAACTTGTCTACAAAAATGTTGTGACTGATCTAAAAACGTTACAACTTGTCTGAAAATGTTGTAAATCGTCAAATTGTAACAAATCGTCTCAACAAGTTGTAAATCGTCTTAAAAACATTATATCTTGTCTGAAAATGTTGTAAATTGTCTAAAAATGTTTCAAATGGTTAGAAAATGTGGCAAATTGTCTGAAAATGTTGTAAATCGTTTGAAAATGTTGCAAATTATCTAGGAATCCAAAGCAAAACTTACTTGTACGCTTTTATACCCGAATGTATCAATTTGTGACTACTTAATACGTGCGAATATGCAAAAGTTTTACCGCAGACATCACAGGCATACGGACGTTCTCCCGTGTGGGACCTAAAACAAAAACAGAAAAAAAAATAAAAATCATTAATAACCTCATTGTCATTATTAATTTCTATAGGAATAAAAGACCCATTCTGCCTCACAACAGACAAATGTTATGGCAAGGCCATGTTACGCTCCAACTTCTATACATTATGCTACTGAATCATACTGAACACTGTCAAAATGTCATGTATTTGCTGTGCATTCGCGTGTTTTATACATAAACTGCAACGTCATTCGTATGTTATGAAGCTAGGTCAGAAACACCCTGTTATCTAAGATCGTATGCAATTTCTAGGTTATGTTTTCTATCTGACAACCAGAGAAATACGCCTGACTGCAAAGCAACCGCCCGGATTTTACAATATTTAGTATGGAAAGTTCTTCATAACATGGCCTTGCCATAACATTTGTCTGTTATGCGGTAGAATCGGTCCCTATATAATTATTATCATTGACGTTTTTTAAAAAAAAGTAGAAAATGGCAATAGGTGTGTATTATTACCTTTGATGTTTTATCCTGCTTCCAAAGTCTGAAAATTTCCTATCGCAATATTTGCATTTGTATGGCTTCTGTCCTGTGTGACATCTCATATGTCTCCTTAGCTCGAATGATATTACAAACCCTCTACCACAAATACTGAAAGAAATAAATATAAATACATTAGAAAATATTTTATATGAAGCCTAAAAAAGTTTTACTTCAAAATCTAGTAGTAGGTTTAACATTTCATAAGAAGACCATTTGCATTAACTCATTTTGAGTGACGACACCGATGGCCAATGACGGAACATTATTTTGCGTAACGCACTACCGTTGCATTTTTGCTGATTTACTCCCTAGTCGCGCCTAAAGAAGTTTTACTTCGAAATCTCGTAGTAGGTTTAACATTTCATAAGAAGACCAATTGTATTAACTCGTTTCGAATGACAACATCGATGGCCAATGACGGAGCAGTATTGGGCGTAACGCACTTCCGTTGCATTTTCGTTGAATTACTTTCTAGTCGCGCCTAAAGAAGTTTTACTTCGAAATCTAGTAGCAGGTTTAACATTACACAAGAAGACCAATTGTATTAACTCGTTTCGAGCGACGACATTGATGGCTAATGACGGACCAGTATTTGACGTAACGCACATCCGTTGCATTTTCGCTGATTTACTCTCAAGTCGCGCCTAAAGAAGTTTTACTTCGAAATCTAGTAGCAGGTTTAACATTTCATAGGAAGACCAATTGCATTTACTTGTTTCGAGCGACGACACCGATGGCTAATGACGCAACAGTACTTGGCGTAACGCACTTCCGTTGTATTTTCGCTGAGTTACTCCCAAGTCGCGCCTAAAGAAGTTTTACTTCAAAATCTAGTAGTAGGTTTAACATTTTATAGGAAGTTTATTAACTCGTTTTGAATGACTAGAGAGTAACTCGACGAAAATGCAACGGAAGTGCGTTACGCCAAATACTGTTCTCTCATTGGTCATCGATGTCGTCATTCGAAGCGAGTTAATGCAATTGGTCTTCTTGTGAAATGTTAAACCCACTACTAGATTTCGAAGTAAAACTTCTTTAGGCGCGACTAGACTTCTTTAGACCAAGATTGGTCTTCTTGTGAAATGTTAAACCTGCTACTAGATTTTGAAGTAAAACATCTTTAGGCGCGACTAGGGAGTAACTTAACGAAAATGCAACGGAAGTGCGTTACGCCAAATACTGTTCCCTCATTGGTCATCGATGTCGTCGCTCGAAGCGAGTCAATGCAATCGGTCCTCTTGTGAAATGTTAAACCTACTACTAGATTTCGAAGTAAAACATCTTTAGGCGCGACTAGGGAGTAACTCAACGAAAATGCAACGGAAGTGCGTTACGCCAAATGCAGTTCCCTCATTGGTCATCGATGTCGTCGCTCGAAACGAGTTAATACAATTTGTCCTCTTGTGAAATGCTTAACCCGCTACTAGATTTTGAAGTAAAACTTCTTTAGACGCGACTAAGGAGTAACTCAGCGAAAATGCAACGGAAGTGCGTTACGCGAAATACTGTTCCCTCATTGGTCATCGATGTCGTCGCTCGAAACGAATTAATACAATTGGTCTTCTTGTGAAATGTTAAACCCACTACTAGATTTCGAAGTAAAACTTCTTTAGGCGCGAGTTAATACAATTGGTCTTCTTGTGAAATGTCAAACCTACTAATACTAATAATTATAATTCGGGGAATATTTCACTTTTCTGCTAATTACAAAGAAACGGCTCGGCCGATCGTCGCACAAAACTGACAAATACTAGTATTTTAATTGCTCGTCAGTAGAGTCTTATTTTGTTTTATAATTAGAAGATACTTTTCACATTCATAAAGAATTGAGTCTAAAATATACAGTTTAGTTCAACAGTAGAGTCCCTTTTGAGTTCGTCTGTTGTTTAAGTTTGCTCTTCAGTAGAGTTCTTTTCTATTTTATTTTTGAAATAAATTTTCTCATCAGCAGAGTTTGTTCTTGCTTTGTCTTTTATTTTGTTTGCTCGTCAGTAGAGTCCCTATTCTTTTTAATGTTGAAAATACGAAATTAGCTCGATAGTAGAGTCTCTCTGTACTATGTCTTTTATTTCAGTTTGTACGTCAGTAGAATCCCTTTTATTTTGTCTCGTACTTTAATTTGCTCGTCAGTAAAGTCTTTATTATTTTGTCTCTTATTTGTTTGCTCGTCAGTAAGGTCCCTTTTATGTCTCGTATTTTATTTTGATTATCGGTATAGTCCCTTTTCTATTTTAATTCGGAAATATGCAGTTTGCTCGTAAGTAGAGTCCCTTTTTACTTCTTTGTAACTTTAATTTGCTCGCCAGTAGAGTCCTTTTTTACTTTGTCGCGAATTTTAATTTGCTCGTCAGTGGAGTCTTCATTATTTTGTCTATTATTTGTTTGCTCGTCAGTAGAGTCCTTTTCATGTCTTGTATTTTATTTTGCTTGTCAGTAGAGTCTCTTTTCTATTTTAATTTCGAATTATCTCGTCAGTAGAGTCCCTTTTTACTTTATTCTGTAACTTTAATTTGCTCGTCAGTAGAGTCCCTTTTTACATTATTTTGTAATTTTAATTTGCTCATCAGTAGAGTCCCTTTTTACTCTGTATTGTATTATGGTTTGCTCGTCAGTAGAGTCTTTATTATTTTGTCTATTTGTTTGCTCGTCAGTAGAGTCCCTTTTATATCTAATATTTTATTTTACTAATCGGTAGAGTCCCTTTTATATTTTAATTTCGAAATATGCTGTTTGCTCGTCAGTAGAGTCCTTTTTTACTTTGTCGCGTATTTCAGTTTGCTCGTCAGTAGAGTCCTTTTTACTTTGTCTATTATTTGTTTGCTCGTCAGTAGAGTCCTTTTTATGTCTTGTGTTTTATTTTACTTGTCGGTAGTCCCTTTTCTATTTTAATTCAGAAATATGCTGTTTGCTCGTCAGTAGAGTCTTCATTACATTGTCTTTTATTTATTTGCTCGTCAGTAGAGTCCCTTTTATGTCTTGAATTTTATTTTGATTATCGATAGAGACCCTTTTCTATTTTAATTCGGAAATATGCAGTTTGCTCGTCAGTAGAGTTTTTTTTTATTTTGTTTTGTAACTTCAATTTGCTCGTCAGTAGAGTCCCTTTCTATTTTGTTTTGTAACTTTAATTTGCTGTCTAAAGAAGTTTTACTTCGAAATCTAGTAGTAGGTTTGACAATTCACAAGAAGACCAATCGCATTAACTCGTTTCGAGCGACGACACCGATGACCAATGACGGAACAGTATTTGGCGTAACGCACTTTCGTTGCATTTTCGCTGTGCGCCTAAAGAAGTTTTACTTCAAAAACAAATTAAAGAACGTCCCCTAATAAGAAGTTCGTTCACGTTTTTACCAAAAAAAATCCGATTCGCTAATTGTATGTTTTCTCTTCGACGTTTCAAGTCATTCTGAATCGTTTGAGACCGAATTCAGAAAATGTGTGTGTTTGTATATATGTGTATAAATTATTATTTATTATTCATGTATTTGTCGGCCCTTGCTCCGAAGAGCATACGGGCTCCAAAAAACGTTGATTGCCTCAACGGTATATGAACTCCATTTCTATTGTCTCTTTTATAAGAACAGAATTTGCTTTTTGAGTTTCATCGGCTCTGAATAAGTGTCATATGGACAGTATTGTGCAGCGCGAGTTATAGGCGACAAGAATCGAATCTAGGTGTTATATATTAATTACATTATACGAAAAGATTATGTTTTATCTTCGACGTTTCGAGTCATTCTGAATCGATTGTGACCAAAAGAATGTGTGTGTATGTGTTATTGTGTGTGTATGTGCTATTGTGTTATTGTTTCATTGTGTGTATGTGTTATTGTGTTATTGTGTGTGTGTATGTGTTATTGTGTGTGTATGTGTTATTGTGTGTGTGTATATTAGCCGACATTTGACCTTTCGTCGACAAAGTGCACATTTTAAAAATAGAATATAAAAAGGACTCTACTGACAAGCAAACCGAAATAAAAGACAAAGTAAGAAGGGACTCGACTGACGAGCATACTAAAATACAGAACATAAAAGAAGGGACTCTACTGACGAGCAAACTGTGTATTACAGACATAAAATAGAAAAAGGACTCTACTGACGAGCAAACTAAAACAAGGCGTAAAGTAAAAAGAAACTCTACTGATGAGCAAACTGTGCATTTCTGACATAAAGTAGAAAAATGACTCTACTAACGAGCAAAGTGGAACAATAAAGTGAAAAGGGACTTTACTGACGAGCAAACTAAAATACAACACTTAGAAAAGAACTCTACTGACGAGAAAACAATGTATTGCGGGCATAAGGCAGAAAGGACTCTACTGACGAGCAATGTCAAAAAAAACGTGAAAGGGACGAGAAAACAATGTATTGCGGGCATAAGGCAGAAAAAGGACTCTACTGTCGGACGAGCAACCTCAAAAAAACGTGAAAGGAACTCTACTGACGACCAAACTATGTATTGCAGACATAGGAGAGAAAAAGGACTCTACTGACTAGCAAACTGCGTATTGCAGACATAAGATAGAAAAAGAACTCTACTAAAGAGCGAACTGGAGCAAAAAATAAAGTAAAAAAGGACTCTACTGACGAGCAAACTATATTTCAAACAGAGTAGAAAAAGAACTCTACCAACGATCAAACCGTGAAATTCAGACTCTGAATACAAAAAGGACACTACTGATTAGAAAACTGAAATATAAGACAAAATAGGGCCTTACTGTTTAGCAAATTCTGTATTTCAGACATGGAATAGAAAACGAACTCTACTAACGAGTTTATTGAAATACAAATCTTAAAAAGGTCTCTACTGACGATTCAACTAAAATAACAGATATAACATTTCTAAAAGGACTCTACTCACGAGCAAACTGTAACAAAGGACAGAATAATAAAAAGGACTCTACTGTCGAGCAAACTCTATTGATTTATTGAAGTGACAATTAAAATAAAAAACAAATTAAAAAAGGGACTTTACTGTCGCAAATAGCGCATTTTAGAAATAAAATAAAAAAGGACTTTACTGGCAAGCAAACTGTGTATTTCAGAAACAAAATAGTAATCGACTCTATTGACGAGCATACCGGAACAAAGGCAAAGTACAAAAGAACTCTACTGTCGAGCAAATTAAAATATAAGACAAAATAGGACTCTACTGTCGAGCAAACTGTGTATTTCAGTTATTAAATAAAAGACAAATTAAAAAGAGATTCTACTGTCGAGCAAATAGAGTATTTTAGAAATAAAAAAAAGGACTCTACTGACGAACGAAATGAAACAGAATAAATTGGAAAGGAACTCTACTGTCAAGGAAGTTGAAGTACAAGTCAAAATTAAAATGACTCTACTGAGGAGCAAACTATGTATTTCAGAAATAAAATAGAAAAAGGGCTCTACTGACGAACACACTGAAATAAAATACAAAATAGGACTCTGCTGTGGAGCAAACTGTATATTTCAGACATTAAATAGAAAAGGACTCTACTAACGAGCAAACTTAAATAAAGAGTAAAAACGGACTAAATTGTAAATTTCACACAGGGTGTAAAAAAAGAACTCTACTGACGAGCAAATTGCGTATTTCGAAAATAAATTAGGAAAAAAACTCTGGGAGTAAACTGACATAGAGGCAAATTAAAAAGGGACAAAGGAAAAAGCGCAAATAAAAATACAAGATAAAGTAAAAAGGGTCTCTACTATCGACCAAATTAGGCATTTCATAAAAAAAAAATCGAAAAAGGCCTCTACTGACAAGCAAATTAAAATACAAGACATAGTAAAAGTAACTCTACCCCACATTTCAGATATGTAATAGATAAGGGACTCTACTGACGAGCAAAATTAAATAAAATATGAAGAAAAGGGGACTCTACTGACCAGCAAATCAAAGTAAAGGTAAAATAAAAAGGACTCTACTGAAGAGCAAACTAAAATTAAAAAAAACGACAATAAAAAGGGATTCTACTGACGAGCAAACTGAAATAAAAGACAAAATATAAAAAAACTCTACTATCGAGCAACCGGCGTATTTTAGAATCTATTTACGAACAATCTGAAATACAAGAAACAATAAGACTCCACTGACGAGCAAATTGAAGAACAAGTGATTCCATCAAATCACTTAAATCAAAAATTGAATCATTTGTTCTTTATCGTCAGTAGAGTATTATTGTTTCTTGTATTTCAGATTGCTCGTAAATAGATTCTAAAATACGCCGTTTGTTCGACAGTAGAGTTCCTTTATATTTAAAACACATTTGATGTAACTCGAACGGAAAGTTCATGCAACTTAAAACTAGTTACAATTTCACTTACTTGCATGCGAAAGGCTTTTCTCCCGTGTGCCTCCTCATGTGCGCCTCAAGATTAAAATTATATCGATATGTTTTTCCACAGATTTCACACATGTGCCTGCAAAGAAAGAAATCAGAAATATACATATATATACTAGCTGACCCGGCAAATGTTGTTTTGCTTAGTAAGGTATATTCTAAACAATTTCTAGAGAATCAAAAATATTTAATACTTTAAGTACATAAGGATGTGTTGTTTCAATGCTATATACAATGAGGTATTATAAAAACATTAAACCCCATTAGTTTGTCTATATTTTGTCAATACAATCAAACTGCAAGTTTTATACACTTTCTATAAAAAACATGGAATAATCCAATCCAAGTCTTTTTTGGTTTTTCGACCTAATGATTACGTTTCAAGTTTTTCTAGATTCTTTTTGGATTCTGGATTTTGTGCATTATTGTAAATAATACTACTGCGAGGAGAGATAGAAAATGAATTAAGTATTTCTTCTTGGACCTGCTTTTTGAAAAATTTCAAGTTACATTCGATGAATTAAAGTAAATTTAATAAAAAGTATATATATGCAGAGCAGGGCGAGGCACAAAGGTCCAATTTGACTTTGAGCAAATATTAATTACATTATAAAAATCAAACCAATTATATCACAACAAATAACACATTTCAAACGAACAATTATCTGACTACGTTCAGTAAAACTTCCAGCTACTTCATCATTGTAGAAATGTGCTTTTTTAATGTCTTTCAAAAATTTGTTATCTAGACCTTTTTACCCTATAGGCGGGGTAACTTGGAACGGCCAGGTTTAATGTCTTATTTTAATTTTGAATGTATTTTTCAAAATAATTACATTTTTAACTAATGCTAAAAAACTACCAACGGAAGAAAATACTTTTATTATGGATTCTCAAAGATCACCGTTTATCTCGCGATAGCAAAGTCATGATAATCAAGGTTATAGCTGGTCATACATTTTTTTCCCTCTACTTTCAAATATTGTTGTTGAACAATGCCTAACTTTACTGTTTTTTGACCTTCATATATTACTTCCTTCATATATACCAAATTTAGGTTCTGAATTGAAATAACATAAATAAAAAAAAATATAACCTAGAAAATGTTTTATAAATACATACCAATGAGTAAATAATTATACAAATGAGTTCTTTCAGAGCGCCGTGTGCTTGAGAAAAATGTGCCAAAAAGTGAATTTTCATATTAACATTTCAAAAAAGTTGATATTTTGAGTCTCTAGTAACACTTGGCCAGTTTAATAACGTTTTTGTGTATAAATAAAACTACAAACAATACTACTCACTACAATTAAATAATATTCACGTAAAATATCCTGTTAAACGTAATGGAACATCATCTGTCAAAAACGTTTGACATTTGACGTATTAACCACCGTCCATTGATTTATTTAAATTACGCTTCTACAAAAATTTGGAAATTAAAAATGTAAAGTTTCTATGCGATTTTGAAATAATATCTAACCTTTCCGACAACCTACTGATTAGCACGAATTTTTCAAGACTGAGACTGGCCAAATCGGTTTAGCCGTTTTCGAGTTTTAGCGGAGCATTTTATCGAGAGCTCCATGTTTGTATATAAGATATATATATATATATATATATATATATATATATATATAATCACATAATTTTTTAAATCTATTACTCACGGTCTCTGAATCTTCTCGTTCCTTTTCCTCTTTCCCATGATCTGTTTAACCTTCTCAGGCTCCTCGATAACAAGTCCCTGATCATTAACCTCTTTAATAATAACATAATCCTCGTGCTCAGTCTTGATATCCAAAACAGACAGATCAGTCATCCCCGATGTGTCCAGAATCTGATTCGGATCCAACTCTATCAACTCAGCATTGGCCAGTCTTATCTCTCTCGCCAGTTCCAATTCATTCATAGATGCATCGTTGTAACTATTGTCCTCGTCCAGCTCTGCGTAGACTTCGTAATCAGAATTCTGTTCGATTTTAACCTGGACTAAATGTGAATCATCTTCTTCATCGTCTTCTGGTTCTTCGGGGTCTTCAATTTCTTCTTCGACAATGTCGTGCATTTCTTGTTTTTGTATTGTTAGATATACGGGGTCTGCAGGGATGCTGCTGGGTGCTGGTGGTGCAGGTGGTGCAGGTGGAGCTAATGGTGCTGGTGCTGGTGGTGGTGGTTTTTGTTTGGATTTCGAGGGCGATTTTTTTACTTTCACCTTTTCCACTTTGAGGTCTTGCGGGAGGTTGTATTGGAATAATCTGCCGTCTCGCTCCGAAACCAATATGTTCTCTGAGGAACAATAAATAAAAAATATTTAGATAAAGAATTAGAAAAGAGACTCTACTGACGAGCAAAATTAAATATTTAGATAAAGAATTAGAAAAAGGACTCTACTGACGTGCAAAATTTAATATCTAGGTAGAAAAATAGAAAATGACTATCAAAATAACTAATTTAAAATGTAGAGAGAATTAGAAAAAAGACTCCTCTGACAAACGAATCAAAAATCTAGATACATAATTCGACAAACAAATTAAATATATAAATATAAAATTATAAAAGAACTCTACTGACAAGCAAATTAAATTTAGAGTTAAAACAAAAAAACAAAATAAATTCAAGTTTTCAATTCATATAAAACTAGCTGTAAGTGGAATTCTGTCTTGAGGCAATTATGGCATCGTGCCTTAAGGCAAATTGCTGGAACTTCCCGTACCGTATGTTTGTGGAATACTGAATGTTTTCAAATAGATTATTATAAATATTGTAACATTGTCTAATATTTATAAGAATTATATAAACTGAATTGCAGAGTTGAAAATATTTGTAAAGTATATTAGAACTATAGTCAGAATTAAAAAACTAAAAAAAAAAAAAAAAAAAAAAAAAAAAAAAAAAAAAAAAAAAATGGAACAAATATTTTTTTTCCAAAATCAATTATCTTGTTAAGACAAGCAGAAAGTTCTTTGAATCATTTAAATCGGACGCTTAGTTCTCTCAAAAATTGCCATTTTTTACATATTTAGCTCCGTATCTTCAAAATGGCTGGGCCTGCCTTTGGCAAAAACTAATAAACACTTTTCCCAATCATTACTAATTGAATGTTTTTTAGATCATTCAAATCGGATACTCCGTTCTCTCAAAAATTCGATTTCTATTTTCTGCACTCTTTGCTCCGTATCTCCGAAACGGCTGGACCTGCCTTTGCCAAAAACTAATCAGCTCTTTTCCCTATCAATAGGAATCGAATGTTTTTTGAACCATTCAAATCGGTTGATCCGTGCGCCCTAAAACGTGACTGGAAATTTGTATCCATACATACATACACACACACACACACACATACACACACACACACACACACACATCCATTTTTTCTGAGGTATGCCAAAACGTTCAGAAACCTTCAAAACGTCGAGAAATGTAAAAATTTTCAATTCCGATTTTCGGCCCATTACAATAACTTACCCTACGGGAAGTTAATAAATCGTCAGTAAGGTTGGGTTCATATAAAACTCTCTCGTCAGTAAAGTTAATAATTTATATAAACTTAATGATTTATATTTATTTATATACAATAAAATATTTCATTAATTATTATATTAATATTATTCATTCTTTTATTTTTTTCTAGTAATTTATAATGATATTGTTCAATTAAGTAATATATTTATATCAAATCTTAGTACTCTGTAAAATAATTCTGTTTTAATTATATATTAACAGATTTAATAAATATAAATATATTTATATATATATATATATATATATATATAATATTTATATTATTATTAATTATTCCAGTCATTTAATTATATATAAACTATTTAATTACCAACTAGTTGGTTTGGTATTTAGCCTTGAGGCAAGTTTCATGAACTTCCCGATATGTGTAAATAATCGACTTAATCAAAAAAAAAAGTGTAAATAATATACTTTATCAATCCTACTTTTAATAAAACGATAATAATTTTAGCAAATTTTGACGAATTTTTAAAATTAAACTACTTGTCGTAAGGGCGTAATATTACAGTAAGTTCTATAAGACCATGATGTATATCGCCAAAAAAAGTTCCATGAAAATCGGCTTAATTTTTTTTTTCAACAGTTAATTACAAGAGAACGGCTCGGTAGATTTTCACCTAAAACTAATCAGTATCATTTCCAACCAATATCTTTCGAACAGTTTTTGATTTTTTGAAATCGGTTCGGTAGGATGAGCTTAAATGTGGATGAAAATTTAACACTTTTTTTTCGAATTACAAAAAAACGGCTTGTCAGATCGTTGCACAAAACTGACAAACGATAGTCCTCACCGAGATACATCAAATGGCTTATAAATTTCTAAAATCGGTTCAGGCGTTTTTGACCAAACGTGGATGAAAGGTCTAATTTTGACAAACGCCAAAAAAATGGTACTAATTTTTACAAACTTTGACGAATTTTTAAAAATAAGCGACTTGTCGTAGGGCCGTAATATATTAGTATGATCTACAAGACTATGGTATCGACCGTCAAAAATAATCATTAAAATCGTCGATTTTTTTTTAACAATTACAAGAAAACGTCTCGGCCGATCTTTAACAAAAACTAATCAGCACGATTACCAACCAATATCTTTCGAACGGTTTTTGAATTTTCAAAATCGATTCAGAATTGCGGGCTAAAACGTGGACAAAAAGTTTTTCACTTTTCTGCTATTTATAAAGAAACGTCTCGGCCGATCGTCGCACAAAACTAACAAGCGCTAGTCCTCATCGAGATACATCGAATGACTTTTGAATTTTTGAAATCGGTCCAGCCGTTTTGAAGAAAACGTCGAATTACGGCAAAAAATCTGTTCACACACACACACACACACGCACACACACACACATACTTTTTCCAAAATTGGTCCCATTCGATTCAGAATGGCTTGAAACGTCGAGAAAACATAAAATTAGCAAATCGGATTTTTTTTTATGAAAAGATGAAAAAATTGATTCCATAATTTAAAAAATAGGGGTGACAACCCTGGATAAAAATAAATAGTTTTTTGAAGTAAAAAGAGTTCTAAATATTTATCAATTACAAATTATAGAAAATTAAAATAAAAAAAATGGTCAAAAATTAAAAAAAAATATTAAGGGTGGACAATCCTTGATAAAAATAAATAGTATTTTGAACAAAAAGAATTGCATATATTTTTAATTCCGCATTAAAAAAAACACAATAAAAAAAATTGACTTCATAATTGAAAAAATGTGTATAGGTTGGACAACCCTTAACAAAAATAAATGGTTTTTTGAAGTTATATACTCAAAAAAATCTTCAAAAATAATTTGTCAAATAAACGTGACATTAAATCTAAAAAAAAATTTAATCTAAAATTTGAAAAAACAGGGCTGGACGACCCTTGATAAAAAGTTTTTCGAAGTAAAGAGAGTTCTATGTATTTTTTAATTTCAATTTATAAAAAATTATAATAAACAAAATTGGTCAGAAAATTTAAAAAAATGTGATCTATGTATTTTTCAATTTCAAATTATAGAAAATTAAAATAAAGAAAATTGGTCACATTTTTTTGAAAAAAATGTTAGAGGTGGACAATTCTTGATAAAAATAAATAGTATTTTGAAGTAAACAGAGTTGAATGTATTTTTCAATTCCGCATTAATAAAATCAAAATAAAGAAAATTGACGTCAAAATTTAAAAAAAAAGTGTTAGGGTTGGACAACCGCTAATAAAAATAAATTGTTTTTAAAAGTAAGATCTATGGAATCATTTTCATGAAGTAAAAAAAAATCTTAACTAAAATTATGTCCAAAGAAAATTGATCAAAAAATTAAAAAAAATGTTAGGGTGGACAACCCTTGATAAAAATAAATAGAATTTCTAAGTGAAAAGAGTTGTATATATTTTGGCAATTCTGCATGAAAAAAATTAAGATAAAAACGTTGACCTCAAAATTAAAAAAAGGTTTAGGGTTGGTCAACCCTTGATAAGAGCAAATACTATTTCAAAGTAAGATTTAAGTCATATCAAAAATATTCAATGACTGAACGCCGGATAAAAAATGATTGAATTGCTAAAATGGCTATACAAAAAATAGGAGTTGGTGATAAAAAAGTAAAAATTTTGGGTTGTATGCATTTTTAATGCCGCATTATAAATAAATAAGAACAAAAAAATTCGTCCAAAAACTGCAAAAAATATCCTTATCACCTAGGGGTATGAAAAATAAATAGTAACCGATTCTCAGACCTACTGAATACGCATATAAAATTTGGTAAGAATCGGTAAAGTCGTTTCGGAGGACGGGAACAAACTTTGTGACACGAGAATTTTATATATAAGATATATATATATATATATATATATATATATATATATATATATATATATAATTCTTATCTTACCATTTGTTGAAGACTTCTCGTCTAATTTATAACTCTGCAAAATATTATCTGAATTTTCACACAGCGTACGAAATTTGAAGGCAGTCTCCAAATTCACCACACACGTTTGGCAAATCGATTCAGGTAGATTCTCTCCACTGTTTATCTAGAACAAATTATTATAGAATAACCATTCTACAATTATATGTAATTGTAATTATAATTATGAGTCAAGCTAAACACTAACAATGAGATAAATTTGAATCATAGATAAATAACATCAATTTCAATTCTTTCGGCATATCATAGATGTTGCCACCAACCATAGCACGTAAATTTACCCTTAGGTTCAATTCTAGATAAGATATTTAAATATCTTCTATATATATATATATATATACGAGGTCTGTTCAAAAAGTTTTCGTAATTTTCGTTTTTTCAAAAAAATATTTATTTATTCGTCTACATTAATGTGGTCCCCTTCAAAGTAGTCCCCCCCAGATATAATACACTTATGCCAGCGTTTTTTCCAATTTTCGAAGCACCCTTGATATTCACTTTTTGATATGTCCTTGAGCACTCTCAGCGATTCGGCCTTTATTTCTTCAATCGAGGAAAACCGCCGTCCTTTCATGGGTCTCTTCAACTTTGGGAATAGGAAGAAGTCACACGGAGCCATATCTGGTGAATTTTTGCACTTTGCAACACTTTATTTCATTTTTTACGCAAAATTTAATACAAATTCTTTGACTTTTCAATTCTTTCATTGTAAAAATCGCCGAGCTCAGAAAAACACGTCGAACCTTAGCGACTACCACAGACAAAGTAAACAGTGAATATAGCTGAAAATTTCATCATACTTTAGGGGCATGTATACCAACACAATAAAAAAAAAATTTTGACAATCAGACACTCCAGACCCGCGAAATTTAATTATTAGTAATTCCGGGTACTTTTTGAACAGACCATGTATATATAAATAAGTCGGATTTTCCTTCCTGACAATATAACTCCAGAACGCACGAACCGATTTCGACAATTTTGCATTCGTTGCAAAAGGTCTCGGGCTCCGCAAGGTTTATAGCTAAGAAAATTAGTGGTGCATGGCATCGTGCCCTAATGCAAATTGCTGGAACTTCACGCACCGTAATTAAAAATTCGAGTAATGACATTAGTGAGAACAAGCAATTCTTGTCGCAATGGTTAAAAATTGCTGTCGATTTGGTGACATACCAATGATTCCGACTTGTCTTGCGTTTGACTTCAAACGATTACAATTTCCAGTTCGCCTTGCGTTCGCAATAACAAGTCGCAAGGCCAATCGCTTAGTGTTTGCGGGATAAATTTCAAATAGATTATTTAGAAAATCATTGTTTTTCACATGGGCAGTTATACGTTGCCTGTTCACGAGTTGGAAAACCATCCGCTTTGTTTGTGTTAACGACGTCAGACCGAAAAACAAAAAATGTGGTTTACCAAAGAGCACTTCAATGAAACGGATAATTCGCGGATTCACTTTCATTTACTTAGAGAAGTTCAACTAAAAAACATTTCGTTTTTGTAATCGAAATAAATTCATTACTGTTGTATAATAAAATCAAATTTTTCCTTTTTAAATATAAAACAAACAAAAAATTTCTTCATCTTTCTCACGAAACCATCTGGTGGCGAAATGGAGTTCGTCGGGTTTGCTAGTATAATATAGAAAAGATAAAACCCGATTAATTTGACTGAATGAAATGAGTACAAAATATACGCGTATGAAATATATTTTCAACAAAATCACAAATCTCTCTACCCTCTAACAAAGTAGTCTTTCACATTACAAAATAGGTCTTCTACACAAAAATAAAACTGATTAAAGTGATTATTGATGTTAAGGTTTAATAAAAACGAACAAAAACCTTTTTTGAACAGGTCTCAAAACTATTTAAACCCGTAATATCACAATTAGCTTTTTTCATAAAGTCCTATTGAGAAAAATTTAACAAATATTAGATGTAAAAATAAATGCCAGCCACATTCAGTCGTAAAGTAGAACTGATTAAAAAGGTTATTGATGATAAGGCTTAACAAAAATGTACTAAAACTTTTAGACCGAAGAAATTTTTCCTCATAAAATTACAAATATTTTTAAGAAAAGTGAATAAAGACTTTCTTATAACTTATTAGTCAAATATTTTAGAATAGTACTGTGATAAATTAAAAAATTTTAAGTATGGTCTCAATCAAATATAGTAAACAAACATATTATGAAATTTATATTGCAATTATGAGTTGAATACAAGACTAATTTTACACTTACAATTTAGGTATTTTTAACTCACACTTGGATTTTGATTATCATTTCCATATTTCTAATAGTGTAAAGAAAATTATTTGATACATTCCAAATGGCTATAAATGATAAACAAATCTGCACAAGTAATAATAAAGAGTTATGTTGCTAATTTACTATATGTAACCATATGGATAACCACATCGATATACTTTTTTAAATGTATCCTGCAAACTTTAAAGAGTCTTTAACAACACCAATTGCACTCGGTAATGAAAAGAAAAGATCTTTAAAACGAATGCTCTTGTCTGAGTAACCCCTTACATTAGAAAATAGTTCTATAAGAATTTAGCTGATTAAAGTCATTATTGATGTTCATAGTTTTCCATCTTGTCTGATAAAAAAAAGGGATTGATAGAATTTGAAGACAACTATTTGTCAGGCAGCCCCTATTAATATAATAAAAAATTATCTAGAATTATAAAATTCGTACCAATTTGTAACAAAAATGTAGAAAATACTTTTGAACTAACTGTCAGCATTATTTGTACTCGTGAAAAAACAAATGGAAGATGTTTTATAACCTTTCTTACAACTTTTGTCTGACTTACAGTTTTATCAAAGAATTATTGTTTAAATATTTTAGAAAAGTACTGAGATAATTTTGATAATTTTCAGGTATCAAAGTCATTATCGATGTCCATAGTTTTCCATCTCGTCTGATAAAAAGAAAAAGGGATTAATAGAATTTGAAGAAAACTGTGATCCAGGCAGCCCCCTTTAAGATAATAGAAAATAGTCTTGAATTATCAAATTTATATAAATTTATAACAAAAATGTGCACTTTGGAAACAACTGTTAATATAATTTCTTACTCGTGAAATAACAAATGGAGGATCTTCTTAACCTAACCTTTTTTACAACTTCTGTCTGACTTATAGTTTTATCAAAGAATTTCAGATATTTAAATATTTTAGAATAGTACTGAGATAATTTTGATAATTTTTAGGTATTTAGCTGATCAAAGTCATTATCGATGTTCATAGTTTTCCATCTTGTCTGATAAAAAGAAAAAGGGATTAATAGAATTTGAAGACTACTGTAATCCAGGCAGCCCCCTTTAAGATAATAGAAAATTATCAAGAATTATCAAATTTATGTAAATTTGAAACAAAAATGTGCAAAACACTTTTGGAACCAACTGTCAATATAATTTCTTACTCATGAAACAACAAATAAGTTATAGTAGTCTTTTATAACCTTTCTTACAACTTCTGCCTGACTTACAGTTTTGTCATAGAATTATTATTTAAATATTTCATAATAGTACTGAGATGATTTTGATAATTTTCAGGTATTTAGCTGATCAAAGTCATTATCAATGTTCGTAATTTTCCATCTTGTCCGATAAAAAGAAAAGGGGATTAATAGAATTTGAAGAAAACTGTAATCCAGGCAGCCCCCTTTGAGATAATAGAAAATTGTCTCGAATTATGAAATTTATATCAATTTGTAACAAAAATGTGCAAGTCAATATAATTTCTTCGTGAAATAACAAATGGAGGATCTTAACCTAACCTTTTTTACAACTTCTGTCAAACTTACAGTTTTATTATAGAATTATTATTTAAACATTTTAGAATAGTACTGATGAGAAAAATTTGACAAATTTCAGGTGTAAAAAATGAATGTGGTACTCATTTTGTTTTTGGTGTTCATAGATTTCTGTCATGTATGTGCATGAAAATTTGTTTCAATTAACAAAAATTTTGCAAGATACTTAATAAACAATTCCCGGGCCATTTTACACGTCTTGCAAT